TTTCCAAATCAGACATCATTATATTCGTGAAAGAGTAAAAGAAGGAGACATAAAAACAAAGTATTGTCCTACCAATGACATGACGGCGGACATACTCACAAAACCTCTCCCGAAACCGAGACATAACCAACATGTCGAAGGACTTGGACTAGGCTCGGATTGAGGGGGAGTGTTGGGAGATGAATAAAAGACATCATGTCACTCCCGACATGTCCGAGACGTCGGATACCTGGGCACTGCCCAGACATGCGTAGAAACTGCGCATGAGGCTCCTGTGTGGAGCGATTACTAAGAAAAGCTCCTAAAAAGTAAATAGAAGCCCCTGAACATGATCCGATGCCAATCCGAGCAGACAAGTCCAAGAGACTAGTAATATATTAGCAATCCGTAGAGGAGAGTACTCCTAATAGCCCATACAAACGAAAGACTAGTATAAAAGTAGTCTAGAAGTGAAGCAAAACTTTACAAGCGCAGACACCTCACATCCGCGCGAACCCAACAGCAGTAAATGACAGCCAGTGGTGCCCCTGGAGGTCAACTCGAAGCCAGGAAAGACGGGGAAACACTGCGAAAATCTGGTTCCATGGGATTTCGGGGGGAAAGTTTCCCTTAACTTGAAGATCGAAGGCTCGAACGGCCGTAAATGGTGAACCGGCACAAAATGAGCTGAATGGGTCGATGGCAGAGATGTCACGGGCATCACTCGATTTGAAGAAAGACGTGAGACTACTTCCGCACCCAAAACCCCGCTTGATGCCGAGCTGATGGTCACAGTTGAAGATTTGTCTAGGGCGAGGTTCCATGATATCAAAAGCGATGTGTGCTCCGACTTCGAGGTTGAACTCCAAGGCGCTGTTCTTGATTTCTTCAAGGCAATAGATATCGAAGAAGGTGGAAGGCAACAAGGTTACACTGTTAGGTGTACCTTCGTCAAGGGCTGGAACGGATATACTCAAGTCGACGTGAGCACCAGAAGAAACGTTGATGTGGGAAAAGAATGCAGCATATAGGGCAAACGTGGTGTTTTCAACTTTGAAATGGTGAACTCGAGGAAGGTTAATGATGAAGTCAGAATTCCAGGTGGGGGGAGCGGAATCAGCTTCAATTTTTAGAAAGACACCCCTAAAGGTGACGTCTTCGAGTAGAGGTGAGCTTCTTAAAACAGACCATGTTTCCTCCTTTGTTGGCGAGGAAGCTCCCAGGTCCTTCAGTTCCAAGCATGTTATTTCATGAAAGGATGAGCTCAACCCATTCCAGGTGGGAGAACAACCGCGGAGCCGTAACATGGACAACGTTGGCGCGTTCCGAATTAAGCTGCTCAGATGTGTAGCGGCGAATGTCGAGTCTTGAACCACACTGTATACATACACAGAAAGGTGATTGAGGGCAGCATAATCGGATGGCATGCAGCGTAGGGCCAATTCTAGTAGTCCGAAGTTTAGGCATGTAACGGAAAACAGTTGCACGCGATGGAGGTGCGGAGAGAGTGTTTCCCCAAATCGCTTCCAAGACCTGTTCATGCGGCCCCGGTGAACATCATTGATAGTGACGAACAACGGCAATTCTTTCGATCTTTGCAGAGCGAGACGAAGAAATTGTGCCGAAGTAGCGGATACGTCCAGCTTGAAGGTTGACCAGAGCTCCGGGAAACTCATTGCGACATCACGCCAGTGCCGACAAACTTTGACAGCGTTGATAACGTCTTTGCAGGTCCCCGAAAAGCCTGGAGTGACAAACTTGAGTATGTTGACAAGCATTTCAACCGGAAGAGTTCAGATCGGGGAGAGGGCATTATGACTACTGTGAAGCTTCGTTATAGCGTTGAGGTGGGCATTGATCTCATCTTGTATTTGGGAGTAGCATAGTTGACGCTCGGGAAGGTCCAACCAGTAACTTATAGCCATACTTGCTAAATACGACACTGGCATAGTCTGTGAGACTCCTGGACCGGTGCCTGAGAGCTTTGTAACACGTACGATCTGATCTATGTGGACAATAATGGCGAAGATTGGTGATGTGCCAGTGCTCGTGCAACTACAAAATTTTTGACTGCCAACATTTGTCTGTATTTGGCGGGCGTGCGACTTCAGCGTCAACTTGAAGGGCTTGAAGGGCTTTCGAGGCCTGAACGGCAGATAGCAATGCAAAACGTAAAGGTCAAATTTGCTAAAAGAAATAGACCATCACTGTAGAACACTAAGAAATCTACAGCAATGACCGGCGACACCAACGATGCGTGACAACCCTCTGCTCGTCTACTACATGCTCCAGATTCCATACTCCCATCCTGAAACGCGCCCCGGAATATGCACAGCTAGCGCATAACCAACGACACACTACATGATTCGTGCCTCGAGAGCGTCACCCAACGCCCTATCTCACCTCCGCCTCCTCGACGCCGCCTCCCGCGGGGCCTCACTCAGCTCCACAACCGCGGCAGGCAGCAAAAACGGTCAACACACGACAGTCACGACCATAACTGACACGGGAAAACACCAGCCACAGCCATAGACCATCACACCATGCCGCAACTCTAGCTCCGCGCAACAGGCCCCCCGACACGTCTATAAAACAGCAAGTACGCATGACGATGGTCCGGCGCCTGCTGCTCGCCGAACACGTCCTCGGCGCGCACGTCCGAGACGAGCTCGTCGTCGATCCGGATCCAGCCCTCGCGCGGCTTCGTGTTGCCCCCCGACGCCATGTCGACATTGGGATGCAGCACATCGAGCGTGTAGTGCCCGCCTGACGCGGAAAGGCCGTGGTGGTACAGCGCGCCGAAGAGCTTGTACCGCGTCGTCAGCACCTTCTTTCCGGGTGCCATCAGCTCTGTTCACGACGTTGAAGTAAGCCCATGAAACAAGCCACGCGCAAAGAATGCAGAACGCACCAGATCCAATCTCCAACTCGGGCCCAAATGACACGTGCTTGCACACCTTGGCGACGCCGCCCGCGTTCGCATCGTACAGGAACCGCTTCAGGTGCAGAATGAGCACCGGCGGCAGCGCCTCGACATGCACCTGCTGCGTCGCGTCGAGCGTGACGCCCGGCTTTGTAACCGAGGTCACCTGGACGCTGGAAGGATGCGAAATGCAGGCGAGCGCGTCTTTGATCGTGGCAATTTGCTCGCGCTGGGTGGCAAGACGTCAGATATAGGATATAGAATGTGAAGAGGGACAAACCTGGATATCAAGACGCAGCGAGCGCCAATCCTCGACAACAGCCGAGTCCTTCTGATGCGGCACACGCAGCGTCGAGCGGAACTTTCCTCCAAAGATGCGCGTGATCGGCGACTCGGTGCTCTTAACCTGCAATTTTCGACACGACACATAAGACACTGACCACGATCCGAAACAAAAGCCAGCTTACCGTACGTGTAACCGTGGGCCTCTGTTTCTTGCCCACCTCGAGCCAACCATCGTCCTGACTGGCCTCGTTTCCGGAGGGCACGTGTCCATTCTGCGCGGGCCGAGGAGCGGGCGGCGCGAGCGAAGACGACATGATATTGAACTCCTCCTCAAGCGTGTCGAGGTAGAATCCGAGGAACTCCTCAGCATCCTCTTGATGGCCGCCCTATAGGTTATCAACATCGCGTCAGTATCAAGTAATAATAAAAATAGCAACACGCGAACGACTCACCCGCATATTATCAAACTGCTTCTTCTCCTTCAACGCATCATACACCACCGTCGGCACAAACGACGAATAAAACTCTTGCTCATCCTCCTCCTGCCTGTAATACTCCCTATCCACACCCTTCCCCTTCCCCTCAACCGGCTTCTTCGGCATAAACTCCCTGAGGAACCTGATCGACGCGTCGATCATCGGCGTCTTCGTCTCCCTCTTCTGCTTCCCCTTCTCCCCATGCTTATCCTTCTCCCCATCAACATCAACGAGACGCCCAAGCTCCGTGAACAGCCTCCAAAACGGCGGACAATACACCAACACCTGCAGCACCACGTTCGCGAAGCACATGTTGCCCGTATTGACCAAGCCACGGGGCCGGATGCGCGGTGGCACCGGCGGGCCCGATGGGCTCGCAGACAACAGGCTTAGCAGCTCGTTCTTCTTCCCGGCTGCGACAGGCACATGGGCACCTGTGGCATGGAGCGCGTCGGCGGGGATGGAGAAACCTGTGACGGATGACATGGGGAGGGCATTGGGTGCGTTGGAGGAGCCTGCACCTCCTGAGGGACGAAGGAGGGCAGCCCAGGACGAGGGCTTGGCTTTGGGCGCATGTGGTGGGGCTACGGGCCGCACAATGGCACTTTCGGCGGGTGTGTCCTTGGTGGGTTCTACCGGCGTTTCCTTCGCAGCCTCAGTGTCAGCTTCGGCTTGAGGGGTAGCCTCAGGTTGCGGTGTTTCTGCAGGCTTCTCCTCAAGAACAGGTACGGCGGGCACCGGAGGCTGCTCAGCCGTCGCAACCTGCGAGGCCTTACCACGCGTTGGAGAGTGTGCGGTGCCAGAGACAGAAGTACGAGACGAAACAGGCGAACCAGGGACGGGCGTCTGAGCGGTAGACGTTCCGGGCGTCGTCTCCGTGGTAGATGACGACGGGAACAGTGTCACCACATGCTCAACGGAGGACACGTTCGCCTTGATAACATTGGAAACCATGGCAGACGCTTTCTTGGCCTTGACGGGAGGATGAGCCGGTTCGGGAGACGGGGGCGGGCTGGGAAGATCGAGAGCGCTGCTGACGACATTTTCTGGGGGACGAGCGCGAGGGGAGATGATGATGCCGGGAGCGTTGGACGGATCACTGGGACGTTTGGACCATATCACCCATCCATCGCATTTGACATCGGTGACGGACAGGGCAGAAGTGCTTCGCGGCGAGGACGGCTGGGGGGAGGGCGGAGCAGGGGGGTCGTCAACGGGCTGATCAGACTGCTGTTGAAAAATAGGTGGGGATTGTCGAGTGGCGAAGTGAGACGGAGATGGAGGAGCAGATGGTGGATGGGGGTTAGGGTTAGACTCCGCGTCATTGGATTGACTAAACAATGGTGGAATCGAATCTTCCTGGGTGGGAGGCTGAGTGGGTGGAGGGGGACCAGGAGAGACAGGATGGTGCAACGCGAGCTGTTTCGGGAGAGGCGAGAGGGTTTGTTGAGGTGTCCAGCCCGAGGTGAACGGGCTAGGCGAGTGCATGGGATACGAGGGGGAGTAAGGTGGGGCCTGAGGGTGAGGCGGTGGGAACTTGGCATGTTGCTGAGGCGGGGGAGGATATGGGACAGGGGAATGCGGATGGTGGGGTACGGCATTTGGGTGATAAGGATACGGGTAGTGCGGATGAGGTTGGAAGGTCTGATGGTAATGGGTGGGACCGCCTCCTCTGGCGGACGGGTATCCACCACGTGCTGGGGAGTTCACACGAGGAGACGAGGGGACGTGCATGGGGTGCCCGTTCATGTGCTGGACGGGATACTGATACTGGTATGGGTGTCCTGGGTACGCATATTGGGGCTGGGGAGGATGCTGGTAGTAGTTGGAGGGACCTGGGTACGGAGGCTGAGGCGTGGCCATGAAACCTTGTTCTAAAGTTTGGTGTAAGTCGGTTCAGTGTGTTACTCGAGAAATATTAGAGACGCACAGGAGATATATGCTTGTGTCGGAAACAGGTGAGTTACGGAAGCAAAGTTGGGCTGATTATCGAGCGAGCTGTGAGTGGGCCCAGATGGTCGAGACCTGTCGTGTGTGGTGAGTCAGCCAAACCCTCCTCTGTTAATTATGCATCCATATCTATTCAACACATACCAGCAATGTCAAGGGTAACCCTGAGGACGTTTTGGAGGAGAAAAAGGAGGAGTGTGGGCAATGCGCGGGGTGTCGGGGCATCAATGTGATCAAGCAAATTCCTGTTCGCCTCATTGTTGTCGTCTGTTTATAGCCCCTTCCGCATTTGCTCCCCTGTGGCTGAAGCGCTCACTGCCTGGAATTGGCGCCCAAGCCCACAAATTTTAGCTCATTCCGACCATCACCTGACCGTCCCCGCCTTGGGCTAGGGTCTGCTCTTATAATTATACAAGACATGCCGTGCTCCGCTACGGCACAATCAATGGGCAAAGACGTGAAAAATCAGAACTGCCGTCTGCTACATGAGAGAATCAGACAGGTTCTAGATCAACCACGTACCACGTCACGGTGCCCATGAGTTTTCGTATCCTCCCCTGTCTCGGCAAGTCAGACCTGTCATGATGCATGAGGGCTTGACTTTGCAACTGTGATGTATCGAACCAACGAAAACCTATATTAGGTTTCCTAAACCTTCAAGAATCCTTACTACGCAACGGGATTTTGTTCACACCTAAGGCTCGGAGACTTCAATACGCCAAGACATCATTCAGCGGGATCAGCATCAAACTAACATACATTGAATCTGAGACAACTTGAACATTTCACAGAACTAATCTACAATGGAAAGCTGTAGCTGAAATATACTTATGCACCTGTGCGTAAACATAATATCACGTCCAATAAAAGGTAACCACTAATATCCAAGATTGAGACGAGGAACGGAAACCTACCACGGCTGCATATGGAAATGGGATGAAAGTGATATCAGCTGCATCACAACTACGAGAGAGTGAAATGGTACCAACCCCCGATCAAGTGTTCAAAGAAACGCTGCGAGACAAAGACGAACCTGCATAATAGTACTGCCTGCGAAACACTTACCTAGGCCAGTGCTGGGGGTCCCGGATACACGGCAACACACGCTGACAACGAACAGGATGTGCAGGATGCTACGGGTGTGGATGTGAGCTTGCCGACTGTGGGTTACCAGTTTACGCTTGCGGACGGATAGCGTAAGAGCAAGGGCTCAGTCTCAGGGCACGCCGGGTGGCGGCTCACGAGCTGACCGT